GTATATATTTCTCGCTGATATGAAAGATAAGGTCCTTATGCTTCCAAAACCATAAACACAAGCGATGCGTGTTAACGTTCAGATTGAGCATCGGGGCTCTTAACCAAACTACTCCACACAGAAGACGCCTTCGTCCAATGACTCATGTGTAATGTAATGGAACTGAGTCATGATCAAGGGCTAGGCCAGACATACAGGAAATTAAATATTCAGAAGGAATTTGTGAAATATAACTTTTAAAATATGAATTTTAAAAACTGTGGGATTACACACAGTAACTGAATTTGTATCAGCATGTCTTCTTTATAATTTAGATGGTAGCATGAGTCTTAACCATATGACAATGTGACAGTAGTGACAACTTTATTATTTATTGGGAATGAAGCTGTATAGATCCTTGGTCTTCTTGGAATGGAATATCAAAGACAACACAAAATTCACAAGCAACATGTTCTTTCCAGGCATAGTTTATTGAAAACACACCAAATTGATACTCTACAAATCAGTATTTTTCACGTTATTCGAACAAGCGTAATACTTGCCTCTGGGTTTTAGTAAAATTAACATAATACATTCTGTCACTGTGGCATCGCTCTGATAGCTACGAAAGCATTCATGTACTCTTCTATGAAATCAAACCATGTATTATGTCTATCTTTTAAAAGTTTATAATACAATGTAATACAAGGCAAAAACCCACCAACAGTCTCCACTGAGGACAGAGTGAGTGAATGTGTGAGTGTGTAAAATGATAGGGAAGGGAGAGATATAGGGAGGGAGGCTGACAAAGAAGAGAAAAGGAGAGAGGTATGAGGGAATGAGGAGGAACGGAGGGAGGGAGAGATAAAGAGTTATATAAAACACAATGTTATCTTTATGTACCATGGAAAATGTTAAGGCACATGATAGTTACAAACACATTTGCTACTGAGTAGTACAGTTACTTTATTTTGAAGAGTTTGAATCAGTGATATCTACACAGGTAGGTCTTCCTCCTTTGATTCAATTTCTACCCCATTTTCTTGCATTTCTTTCACAGCACAGTCCACAAACCAGCCCATGGACTCATTTCATATGTATATAAGTACAACACCAGATCCTTTGGTTGTGTACTGCAAAATGCAGTCAGGAATAGACAGTCAAAGATTAACAATCCAATGAAAAGCACACAGTTCTGAGGACATACGTCAACATGGAGGACGTTAACATGGGGCTATTATTACGCTACTTTTCTCTGAAATTAAATGTTTATTAATACGTGTACTTTTAATTTGTATCTTATCACATCAGTCTTTGTTATCGCTGTGTAAAATATGCAAGCTTTATAAAGTCACATCACAAAGAAATTCGGACTTCAACGCAGGCACATGCCATTTGCCTATAGCTGACGCATGAGTTAAGCTGTCCTGTAGTGGAGGGCCCCCTCACTGGTCCCAGAATTGGGAGAGAGAGAGAGAGAATGGGTTCATAGTGGAGAGTCCACCTGGCGATGGAGATAAAACAATCACAACATCACTACTAAACCGTTAACCACGTGCAGTTCAGCTTTTCTTCTCTTTTTAAAAGACATCTGCACTACTTCATTTCAATTGCCCCTAGAAGGAACAAAACATATAATAATCAAACAGATTTTGTATACTTCGTACAACGTGATGCAAATTCTGCATTGAACCACATGAAAACTGCTCTCCTCTCCAGATATAAATGACTAATATCCAATTACACCACAAAAATTGGCACTTAAAAATAATATAAACATCTGTACATTTTTTCATGCTTGTTTCAAATAGTTATTTAAAGATGCATTAGTGAAATCAAAGCACATTTTTAGGTTCTCAGCGACTTCATATAATTGCAGTGTGAAATGAAAAGGGAATTGTAACACTTCTGTCTAATTTCTTCTTTCTGTCTATCCCTGCTGCTGCATCCCTCCCTCCCTCCCTCTTTTCTCTCAGTCTTATCTCTTGAGTGACCCCTACTGAACCATCTACTCTCTCTCTCTCTCTCTCTCTCTCTCTCTCTCTCTATTAATCTCCTTGAAAGATTTGGAGACCAGGTCATCAGTTCAACTCACCTTTAAAAAGAAAGCTGAATAACAGCTCGTCTTTTTTTTTTTTTTACTCTTGACAGTACAAAATATAAATATGTGATCAGCATGACTCTATAGATTTGATACACACTTAAATGATGTGATTATTTCTGTTTACAAATATGAGATTTTATCCAATGAAAGTCCTTCCCAAACAACCTGTTATGAGTACACAACTAAGACCTTTCTATTGTTTTTTCTGTTCTCTATTTTTTTGCTTTTCTTTGACCCTAATATATATTTATAAAACCAACAAAAATATCTAATGCTTTTCGATTCTACCCTTTGACACCAGGAGCATGTACTTTCCCTTTCTTCATTAACACAATCCATTTATAAACAAAATGTCAAATATTCTCTTCAACTTTAATACATATCAATGACAAACAGCAACCAACCAAGCAAATCATATATCGTCGTCGGCAAACACATATCTCTAGTCTGTGTCGATTCTGAAAATATATTTTAATTTTGTTTCGCTCAACAGCTATAAGTAACCCAACCAAATGCATGTCTTTTCACTTCCCTAACTCCAATCAACACTTGCAGGTGTACAGCTCCTTTAAGTGCCCCTCAAGCATCAAGTCCTTCAAACCACCCCAACCTTCATCTGCCATCTACCACACCAGTCCACACCCCACACTTCTTCAATCCAGAAAACAAAAACAAAAAGAAAGACCAGCAAAAAAAATTAAATAATTATATTACAAACAAAAACAATTTACTGTGCCTCCAGGAAAGACAAACCAACAAAAACAAAAGCTAAATAAAAAGCTAAATTACAACATAGAAAAAAATACTATTTGAAGCGCACTGTCTCTTTTCCTTTCCAACACACTTCCTTTCCTCCCAACATACATCACCTTCTCTCCCCCTGCTTCACACCAGCAGCCATCCCTACATTACCATAGAGATAGAGCTCTAGAATACTTGTATCTCTATGACGAGAACTGCTTCCACTCTTCCATCCTGACACCATGCAGAGCTCCTCCAGTCAGAGTCCTTGCTGTTAGGGTACACTACGTCTGTCCATCCAGTGGGGGATGTAGATATGAGAAGTAGTCGTTTTTTGATTTTCTTTTCTTTTTTTATACATAATTTCATTTGCTGATTCAAAAGCATGAAACATTGGCTGTTGGATGATTGTTTCTTTTTTTTTTTTTTCTCTTTCGTTCTTTTACAAAGTCTATCTGCTGATGAGTCAACATCAAAATGAGTTCCATGTGTTATGGCAGTGATGACATGGGAGATCCTATCGTTCAGATGTTACGCTGTCGTTATTTAAGCCTAGAAGACAGAAGAACGGGGAGGGAGGGGGGACACAGGTGGTTATGTCAGAGCTGAAAACCTATAAGAGAGTAGGCTTGCGTCCCAAAAGGCACCCTATTCCCTATATAGTGCACTTCTTTTTACTAGAGCCAAATGGGCACTGTTCAATAATAGTGCACTACAAAGGGAATAGGGTGCCATTGGATGCAGGCCGGGTGTTTAAAGCAGTTGAATAATCAAGCTTTTAAAGTAAGTCAGAGGGCACATTGACAATGGTATTACATAATTCCTTCAAAATCACAATACAGAAATCACTGTATTCATACATGCTTGACAGATGTCAAATCCAATGTAAAAGGGAGACAACAGACAGCGAGAGAGATGCTTTGATGACATGTTTGAATGGTAGCTGCTGCATAAAGCCAGCTTTGTTAACACACAAATGAAGCAGGCAATGTCCATTCTTTCGTATGATTACTCTGTCTTACCTCATTGACTCAATGTCCATTCTTTTGTATAATGATTACTGTCTTACCTGACTGACTCAATGTCCATTCTTTCGTATAATGATTACTCTGTCTTACCTGACTGACTCCATGTCCATTCTTTCGTATGATTACTCTGTCCATTCTAAGAATGTCACTGTTAGATTAGATCCTTTTTTTTTTTTGTTAATCTTAATGTGGTGATCACAACCTGTTTTCAGAGTTATTATATAAACTAAATTGTTTTCAGTACTTAATTCTGTACTGATGATCATTCAGTCATATTTCAGTTTGCATTTCAGAGCACCACACAAGGAGTCAATCAAAGCAGTATGGTTGATCCCTTACCTAGGACGATGAGTCATGGGAGTGCAATGAGAGAATAAAGAGACTTACAGCAAGGAAGAAAGACAGCCCTTCACCTCCATATAGCTGTTGATGATCAGCCACCTACCACAGCTTCTCACCCAGAACAGACACACTCAGTGATAAGTCATGGAACAGGAGGACAGAGATGAGCGAGTGATGAGAGGATCCCCAATAGTGAGCTCTAGTGACGCTAACCCAGAGCAGCTAGCCTATCCTAACCTAACACAGACTCTGTAGATATAACCGAGAAAGAGGAGCTGATGTGTGTGTTCATCCAGGCATCCATTATTTATCTGGAGGAGCTCTCTGTCCCAGGGAATAGTGTATGGATTAATGAATGCTGATAGGGAGAGGATAGAGGATACACCATGTTCTTTCCACAGCTTTTCATTAGAGCTACACTGGGAGGAATTGTGTATGTGTGTGCACATGCGTGCGTATTCCATCTAAAGTCTATAGAGTTAATCTCTTTCATAATTTAGAACAAACATAATTTCATCTGGAATAGTCAAGGGAGTCTGTCTGTTTTGCAACATATGGGTTTTAATCAAACAGGTGCTCCACAACTGTGAAGATGATGCAATTTCATCCAGCTTTTCTCAAGTTTGGTGTCATAAGCCAACTACTGTGGATCAAGCAGGTCCAAGCACAGACAAACAAACAAACAGAAGTGAGGTGTGTGAGGGTTAAAACAGAAACAGCGTGGTGGTGGTGGAGGTAACAAAGAAAGGAGACTAACATTCCAAAAAGTGAAAAACCAACATTTGTAAGACCTACCATGCATGCATTTAGACCCAGGAGTCTACAGGCTGAGGTTTAACGTCACAAGCATCCACCAGTTTGACTGCAGGCCTGTTACTCCTGACATAGTGTTTCCTATTTGTGTCATTCTGCAGCAACGGGAGAAGGGGTTAACAGCAAAACAAAGAGGTCGATAAATATCATCCACAGAGAGGAGTGGAAAGCCAGGGTTAGTTCCATAGCATAAATGTCAGAAAAAGTTATTAAAAACAACAAACCAACCGAACCATGCAAACAAACAAAAACAGAGTGGGACAAAGCAGTTCAAACAGCAGAGTTGCATTTTGGTTACAGGCTTCTCGAGGTCTAGAAAGCAGGGTTGAGCAGTTGTTGCTGTGCTGAAGTAAATTCAAAACAGGAGAGGGGCGGGGGCTGTAGACATGAGAGGAGATATCTGCCATCTCCAGTCCTGTCTGACGGCTAATTTGCTTCAGGAGGTTTTGCAGCATACTGTATCTTGACAAGCATTTGTGTCTTCAAGCTGCAAAGTGTCTGTATAGCTGCCGTTCTACACATGGTAAATACTTTGTGTCATCTTCAGACCAGAATAAAGTTGCGGTCGGATAAGCATGTTAGTTTAAGTACTATAATTATCTCAAGAAGCAACTGGGGGGGGACTACAGAGAAGGCGAGCAAAATGTGTAAACATCTCTTTTCCCATTCTACCTCATTATAATATGATGATGTCTGATTCTGAACTCATGGTAACCCTTCATCAACCAAGAGGACTTCTAGCTGTGTTAGTATGATTGACCTATCAAACCACCTTCAGTCCTTACGCCACGCTGACCGATCAAAGCGTGAGAATATAATCCTGTGATGGGAAACACATGACTGGACTGGACGTCACCCTGGTTCAACAGTGAATAAGTCATACCTCCATCTCTCTCTCTCCCTCTCATTCACACTGAGTTTTCTCTAGCGATGGGCACTGAGCCACTTACTATGCAGGTGTGTGTGTGTGTGTGTTCGTGGGTGAACAAGGCCTTGGTCATCTCGCTCTATGAGGAGAAGTGGAGATGGAGGGGCAGGACTCTTTTAATCAGTCCCAGATTAATTACTTTCACAATCACAAAGCTTACTCAATTATCTGCTGCTTAGCTGTCAGATCTGCTGTCTGCAGTCAGTAAATTGGACTGCTAGATGAGTGGCACCAGGCTCGACAGACAACAACATTAACTGCTGCTGCAGAAAATGAAAATCCCAGATTCCTCTTCAAGAAATCGATACGATTTCCTTAGAAAGGGCATGGCATTGACAAATGGGCAAGGGCACTGAAAGAGATGGATTTAGGCTACCTTAACAGAAACGGAGTATCATGACTCGTGTGTTTTAATAGCCTGATCCCTTAGTCACCTATAGTGTAGCTGTAGGTGAGGGGTGTGAGCTGTCACGGGTGGGTCTAGACCAGACGTACCTTCAATGGCTCCCGTTCTGTCAGGTCCACTGACCCGTCTCCACTACTCTTGTACTTGCAGTCCTTGTCTCTCTGGTCGATGGTGGAGTAGCCATCTAATGAGGAGAGAGAGGATCACAGAAATATATCACTTTTAAATACATGGATTGAAACTACAGACGAATAAGCTGCATGCAGCCTTCCAGGACTGGAGCTGTGCATATCTGAGGAAGAACTCGTTAGTAAGAGAGTAAACAAGACAATTGTGTTTACATTTTCATTGAAAAGAGGAGCACTGAGGAGAACATTAAGGTTTGTCAGGTTTTGAACACAGTCATTAGAGAATTGCCCACACCTCCTGTTGCTACTTGTCTGGACTACTGAATTAATGGCCATCCTTATACCAACATCTTGTTAAGAGAGGGGTCTTGCATACAGCATCATAAGTAAAACACTACTGCACTGCATTGTCCACCGTTAGAGCGTCACAACAAGTCATATCTTTGTTCATTCCCAATATTGCCAAAGTTTGCCCTACAAACTTTGTATTATTATTTCCATGTTGGCAGTGGTGTTGTTAGGGTTCTAGAACTGTGAGTAGTTCCTACAGACAAGAACATTCCATCTGAGACTACTAGTATTCCTCATCGGCGATTGAGGTCATGCAAACTCGGTCTTACCTGGACCAAGCTCGTCCATAGGTATCATATCACCACTTCCATTTTTCTTGGTGCCTGAAAAGCATTTATATGCCATTTTTTTATCATGAGCACCACACATTCAATTTGTTTTAATCACGAGCCAATGTTGCTTTCAGGCCAATGGTCCTCAGTCACTGTCTGCTGGTACACTTTAGCAGTAATGCAGGCAGGCTGAGAATGGGTGTAAATGACAACTACACTTTGTGTGTATGCATGGTTGCAAAAAAAGTAACATGGCCAGAAACAAGATGACAAGAAAAGTGCTGTCATGCTCTCGACTCCTCTGTCAATGAGATGTTTCGTGTTTTAGGCTGCTTCAGTACCTCCCTCTATGCACATATCCTACTATACATGCTTGGATTTGTGTTCAATAACACACTATTGGATTAGATAAATCTACCCATGATGCATCATTCTCCCGACCACACCATCCCAAAAGCTACTGACTACCACATGAAGATCACCAAACACTGCAGCATAACAATGAGGGTGAAAGGTTTCAAGCACAGCCCTCCTACAGTAGGTTAACGGCTATGAGTGATAACACACAAAGCAAAGCACAGATAGATAGAACCATCCTCCTAAGCACTCGCTCTAATCAAGGCTTCTGATACAGACAGACACACAGTAACAGCAGCACAGTTTCCTCCATAGATATAGAGCAGTTATTAATATCTATGGTTTCCTCACTCAGTTCACCACAGTAGGCCAGGCCCGGAGGATCCCTAGTCTCGCCTGCCGTCACAGACTGACCTTGGTTCTTCTCCATCAGGGGCAGAGTGGTGTCGTCGTAGCCTGGCTTGCCATTCTTGGCTGCTTTAGGGGTGCCGGTCGCTGTAGGCTGAGGGGGAGAGAGAAGAGACATATGAGTGTACTCATTGTGTGTGTGTGTGTGTGTGTGTGTGTGTGTGTGTGTGTGTGTGTGTGTGTGTGTGTGTGTGTTCTACTACACTGCCGTGTACCTGGAAGTGGCTCTTGTTCCATCCTTCCTTGGTCAGGGCGTTCCTCAGGTCCTTGTAGCTCCACACCATTTGCAGCACGTGGGAGGCGGCCTTGTCCTCACGTGGTGATTGGCTGAGGAAGGTAGACAGGAAGAGAATCAGGGTCAGTATTCACAAAGCGTCTCAGATTAGGAGTGCTGATCTAGGATCAGGCCCACCTGTCCATTCATTATAATTAAAAAAACTGATCCTAGATCCTACTCTGAGACTCTTTGTGAATACAGAACATTGGCCCAAACCACTGCCAGCAGCTACTGGAGGCTGGAGCCAAATGCAATCAATCTCACATTCAAAGTCATCATCTATCTATTCCTACTAGTGGCCCCAGGTGCTTGCTTTTAATTCATACCCCAATGGCCGCACACATTTCCTTTCATTCAATTCATTAGCTACTCCTTAGCCCTTCTGTTAATTACATGGGAGGGTTCTCCATCACTTCAAAGTAATTATCATGGGTACAGAGAAAACACATTTATCTGGTATTAAATAAAGTATGGATATCAAATCCCCACTGGAAACAAATCTTAAATTATCATGATCAATAGGTTGTAGAAGGAGACAGCTATCCAAACAGCTTCTCTCTGGCTGTCATCGCTCGTTGACTTTATCAAGTAGATCAGTGAAATACAGTGGAAACTGGGAAATCATTAAAACAGCTCCTGAATTCCTATTCATAGTACTTAGTATTCAGGTGAAGTGCACTATAGTTTGTTTCCTGGAAACCAGGCACTGCAAGGTAAGGGCTTATCTATTCAATCTAAGTATTGTTCTACAGATCTAAATAATATGACAAGGAATCCAGTTTATATTACCTTCTATTATTAATGCCCATGCTAGAGTTGACATGAAAAGACACAGTCATCACATTGTATAAGGCCAGAAGCAGACACTCCTGGTCCTTGAGAGATTGCAGAATATATATCATGAATGTAAAAGTGTCACTATGTTATTAATTGAATTAATCGAAGGTCAAAACAATTAAAATGGGTAGGTGGTTAGAGAGACAATAAAAGACCTGCTCTCATGGGGGAGGGAGACTGGTGGTACATGTAGGCCTACATACTGTATGTACAGGTGAAGTCGGAAGTTTACATACACCTTAGCCAAATACATTTCAACTCAGTTTTTCACAATTCCTGACATTTAATCCTAGTAAAAATTCCCTGTTTTAGGTCAGTTAGGATCACCACTTTATTTTAAGAATGTGAAATGTCAGAATAATAGTAGAGAGAAGGATTTATTTCAGCACATTCCCAGTGGGTCAGAAGTTTACATACACTCAATTAGTATTTGGTAGCATTGCCTTTAAATTGTTTAACTTGAGTCAAACGTTTTGGGTAGCTTTCCACAATCTTCCCACAATAAGTTGGGTGAATTTTGGCCCATTCCTCCTGACAGAGCTGGTGTAACTGAGTCAGGTTTGTAGGCCTCCTTGCTCGCACATGCTTTTTCAGTTCTGCCCACAAATGTTCTATAGGATTGAGGTCAGGGCTTTGTGATGGCCACTCCAATACCTTGACTTTGTTGTCCTTAAGTCATTTTGCCTCAACTTTGGAAGTATGCATGGGGTCATTGTCCATTTGGAAGACCCATTTGCGACCAAGCTTTAACTTCCTGACTGATGTCTTGAGATGTTGCTTCAATATATCCACATAATTTTCCTTCCTCATGATGCCATCTATTTTGTGAAGTGCACCAGTCCCTCCTGCAGCAAAGCACCCCCACAGCATGATGCTGCCACCCCGGTGCGTCACGGTTGGGATGGTGTTCTTCGGCTTGCAAGCTATTCCCTTTTTCCTCCAAACATAACGATGGTCATTATGGCCAAACAGTTCTATTTTTGTTTCATCAGACCAGAGGTCAATTCTCCAAAAAGTACGATCTTTGTCCCCATGTGCGGTTGCAAACCATAGTCTGTCTTTTTTATGGCGGTTTTCGAGCAGTGGCTTCTTCCTTGCTGAGCGGCCTTTCAGGTTATGTCAATATAGGACTCGTTTTACTGTGGATATAGATACTTTTGTACTTGTTTCCCCCAGCATCTTCACAAGGTCCTTTGCTGTTGTTCTGGGATTGATTTGCACTTTTCGCACCAAAGTACGTTCATCTTTAGGAGAAAGAACATGTCTCCTTCCTGAGCGGTATGACGGCTGCGTGGTCCCATGGTGTTTATACTTGTGTACTATTGTTTGTACATATGTACGTGGTACCTTCAGGCATTTGGAAATTGCTCCAAAGGATGAACCAGACTTGTGGAGGTCTACAATTGTTTTTCTGAGGTCTTGGCTGATTTCTTTTGATTTTCCCATGATGTCAAGCAAAGAGGTACTGAGTTTGAAGATACATCCACAGGTACGCCTCCAATTGACTCAAATGATGTCAATTAGCTTATCAGAAGCTTCTAAAGCCATGACATGATTTTCTGGAATTTTCCAAGCTGTTTAAAGGCACAGTCAACTTAGTGTATGTAAACTTCTGACCCACTGGAATTTTGATACAGTGAATTATAAGTGAAATAATCTGTCTGTATACAATTGTTGGAAAAATTGCTTGTGTCATGCTCAAAGTAGATGTCCTAACCGACTTGCCAAAACTATAGTTTGTTGGCCTTCCGAATGGCGTAGTGGTCTAAGGCACTGCATTGCAGTGCTAGCTGTGCCACTAGAGATCCTGGTTCGAATCCAGGCTCTGTCGTAGCTGGCCGCGACCGGGAGACCCATGGGGCGGCGCACAATTGGCCCAGGGTAGGGGAGGGAATGGTCGGCAGGGATGTAGCTCAGTTGGTAGAACATGGTGTTTGCAACGCCAGGGTTGTGGGTTCGATTCCCACGGGGGGTATGAGAAAAAAAAAATAAGAAAAAAAAATGTATGCACTCACTAACTGTAAGTCGCTCTGGATAAGAGCGTCTGCTAAATGACTAAAAATGTAAATGGTTGAAAAACTATTTTTAATGACTCCAACCTAAGTGTATGTAAACTTCCGACTTCAACTGTATGTGCATATTACATATGTGTATAGTATAGCTACTATGGAACTGAACTACTGTTGATTGATTAGATCGATCAATCAATCATTACATTCTAAGAAAGACAAACAAATCCTAATCGAAACACAAGAACCTGTTAACGGCCAGACGTTAGCATTGTGCTATGCTACACTATGCTACACTATGCTGAACTCTAATATGCTGTCTTGTACTGTACAGTACTGTGCTGTATTGTTATTATACTGTGCTGTAGCCAACTGTGCTAGCCAATGGTCATACCTCGTCTTGTTGATGGCCACCAGTTTCTCGATGGCCTGGGCCTGGATGAGGGAGCGTGCGTTCTCGGAGCTGTCCGTCACAATCTCGTGGATGGTGTTGAGGATGGCCACCACCGTGTCTTCCTCCAGGTTCTTGGCTGGCCGCTGCTGACCGCTGGGCAGGTTACTCACCAGGTCCCTCATGGCATAGCTCCCTACAGGGTAGGGGTCGAAGGGCAGGGGGCAGAGGGCACCGTCAAATGTTAATAGAGGTAAAAGGTGTATAATCATTCAGAAGAAAATGGACAAATATCGTTTTTTACATATTGTTTTGATTCATAATAGCATTGTACAAAATGTTTATTAACTAATTAAAACTTTGACTAATCTGCAATAATTCATCAAAAAATATACACAGGTTCAACAATCATATTGTTATCATCACTAGCTAGGTTTCAATCCAATTGGCAACAGATTTTCATGCAAATATTCTCAAAGGAACTTTAGACTTCTCTAAAGAAAATCTGCAAATTTTCCCACCAGTGGTGTGTTCCCACCAAATTGGACTTCTTGCGGATATAAGTCAGTGGTGATGACGTAATGCACACATGTTCTCATGTACCGAATCAAAATGTGAAGTTCAATGTGTTTCCATCGTCATCTACCGATAGTTTTGTCACAGAAACTGTTGTGTTAAACAGCAAATGTGCCTACTCTGGTCTTGGCATGTGCGCTCTGGCCAACAACTCGCAGATACAGTGTAGGTAGGCTGCAAGTCTACATTATGAGATTATTATGGATAAGAGCGAGAATATTGTAATGATGTAATTTATTTGATATGACTTTACTTGCATAAAAACTGTGGATGGAAACGTGGTTAGTAACAGCTTTCCAAAGTGTTTTACCCCATTGTTGTACTTGTATGCTGTAAAGATAGGCCGTGTGTTAACCATGTGTGGTCAGTTTATGTGGTCAATGGTCATACCGATCAGGTCTTTGTTGCGGCGGTCGATGGAGAGGTTGCGCAGGGCGATGGCCACGGCTCGGACCACCTTGTCAGAGTCAGAACGCAGCAGCTCCACCAGGATGGGAAGCCCCTTCTCCTTCCTCACTGTGGCACGGATGTAGTTGGACCACTGGGGACAGAGAGAGGAGGCAACATGGAGAATATGGATAAACTGTCTGTGAAGAGAGAGGAGGGAACATGGAGGATATGGATAAACTGTCTGTGAAGAGAGAGGAGGGAACATGGAGGATATGGATAAACTGTCTGTGTAGAGAGAGGAGGGAACATGGAGGATATGGATAAACTGTCTGTGAAGAGAGAGGAGGGAACATGGAGGATATGGATAAACTGTCTGTGAAGAGAGAGGAGGGAACATGGAGGATATGGATAAACTGTCTGTGAAGAGAGAGGAGGGAACATGGAGGATATGGATAAACTGTCTGTGTAGAGAGAATACTGGATTTGACTGTTCCAAATAATTACATAGCAGGGCTACAGACTGTCATGTGATGCAATTTGTCTCAGATTAAACAAAAAATAAATTCTCTCGTTTTTTTACACAAAACAATATGGTTCAAATGAAAGAGCTCCTTTGATCAACACTGAGATGAAATTAAACTGGTGAATTACCAGAACCCGGCCACTGGGTGGCAGTAGTAAACCTAAAACAGACTGTACTTAGTTAAAAAGCTAGGAGAAGGGGATGAAGAGAGGATTTAAAGTAAAAAAGCTTGAGATATCCTCATAGGGAGTGGGGACACGTTATGTCCATCTCCTTTAAGCAGAGGTTTTATGTTTTTTAGCATCAGCCCCAACCCCAGTGTGGACAAGCATTCTGATCAGCCTCTTCTGCTCAAACTACATGAGAAACGATTCTGTCTCTTTATATACAGTGCCTTCAGAAAGCATTCATACCCATTGACTTATTCCATATTTTGTTGTGTTACACAGCTTCACCTTGTGCAGGGGACAATAAAAGGCCACTCTAAAATGTGCAGTTTTGTCACACAACACAATGCCACAGATGTCTCAAGTTTTGAGGGAGCGTGCAATTGGCATGCTGACTGCAGGAATTTCCACCAGATCTTTTGCCAGAGAATTTAAATGCTAATTTCTTTACCATAAGCCACCTCCAATGTCGTTTTAGAGAATTTGGCAGTACGTACAACCGGCCTCACAATCGCAGACCACGTGTATAGCGACGTGTGGGCGTTTTGCTGATGTCAACATCGTGAACACAGTGCCCCATGGTGGCAGTGGGGTTATGGTATGGGCAGGCATAAGCTACAGAAAATGAACACAATTGCATTTTATCGATGGCAATTTGAATGCAGAGATACTGTGACGAGATCCTGAGGCCCATTGTCGTGCCATTCTTCCGCCGCCATCACCTCATGTTTCAGCATGAAAATGCAAGGATCTGTACACAATTCCTGGAAGCTGAAAATGTCCCAGTTCTTCCACGGCCTGCTTATTCACCAGACATGTCACCCATTAAGCACGTTTGGGATACTCTGGATTGACATGTACGACAGCGTGTTCTAGTCCGCGCCAATATCCAGTAACTTCGCACAGCCATTGAAGATGAGTGGGTCCACAATCAACATTCCACAGTCCACAATCAACATCATGATCAATTCTATGCGAAGGAGATGTGTCGCTCTTCATGAGGCAAATGGTGGTCACACCAGATACTGACTGGTTTTCTGATCCACGCCCGTACCTTTTTTTTAAAGGTATCTGTGACCAACAGATGCATATCTGTATTCCCAGTCATGTGAAATCCATAGATTAAGGCCTAATTATTTATTTCAATAGACTGATTTCCTTATATGAACTCTAACTCAGTAAAATCTTTGAAATTGTTGCATGTTCAGTATACATACATGTAACTATTTACACCCCTGAGTCAATTCATGTTAGAATCACCTTGGGCAGCGATTACAGCTGTGAGTGTTTCTGGGTAAGTCTCTAAAAGCTTTGCATACCTGGATTGTACAATATTTGCACTTTTTTATTTTTTATTCTTCAAGCTCTGTGAAGTTGGTTGTTGATCATTGCTAGACAGCCATTGTCAAGTCGGCAAAGATTTTCAAGCCAATTTAAGTCAAAACTGTAACTAGGCCACTCAGGAACATTCAATGTCGTTTTGGTAAGCAACTCCAGTGTATATTTGGCCTTGGTTATTGTCCTGCTGAAAGGTGAATTTGTCTCCCAGTGTCTGTTGGAAAGCAGACAACCAGGTTTTCCTCTAGGATTTTGCCTGTGCTTAGCTCTATTATGTTTCTTTTTATCCCCCCAAAAAACTCCCTAGTCCTTGCCGATTAAACACATACCTATAACATGATGCAGCCACCACCCTGCTTGAAAATATGAAGAGTGTTACTCAGTGATGTGTTGTGTTGTGTTGGATTTGCCCCAAACATAATGTTTTCCATGTTTTGCAGTTTTACTTTAGTGCCTTATTGCAAACAGGATGCATGTTTTGGAATATTTTTTACATGCTTCCTTCTTTTCACTATGTCATTTAGGTTAGTGTTGTGGAGTAACTACAATGTTGTTGATCCATCCTCAGTTTTCTACTATCACAGCCATTAAACTCTGTAACTGTTTTAAAGTCACCATTGGCCTCATGGTCAAATCCCCAAGAGGTTTCTTTCCTCTCCGGCAACTGAGTTAGGAAGGACACCTGTATCTTTGTAGTGACCCATCTACCAATAGGTGCCCTTCTTTGGTCATTGGAAAACCTCTGTGGTCTTTGTGGTTGAATCTGTGTTTGAAATTCACTGCTCGACTGAGGGGCCTTACAGATAATTGCATGTGTGGGGGTACAGAGATGAGGTAGTCATTCAGAAATCATGTTAAACACTATTATTGCACACAGAGTCCATGCAACTTGTTATGTGACTGATTAAGCTAATTTTTACTCCTGAACTTATTTAGGCTCGCAATAACAAAAGGGTTGAATACTTACTGACTCAAGACATTTCAGCTTTTTATTGGTAATTCATTTGTAACGTTTCCAAAAACATAATTTCACTTTGACATTATGGGGTATTGTGACACAAACTCTATATTTAATCTATTTTAAATTCAGGCTATAACACAACAAAATGTGTAAAAAGTCAATGTCGTATTAATACTTTCTGAAGGCACTGTACTTAATTATTAAAAAATCACCAGTGCAGAACAGTGATAGAAAACAGAGCATAAATGAAAATGGTGGTTTATACATGGTACACATGTACTGTAGGCTACACTTCATACATGTTAAACACAGGTTATGTGTAAGTGTTTAAAAATTTTTAACAGCAAGAGATACAAGTTGGATGTTTTTCAAATCAATCTAACATCCTGTCAGTTGTGTTGTGTTTTGCCACCGCTGTGGAGGGAGAGAACGACCTGAGCTGAGAGGAACAGGAAGGTGTGAGCATGGTGCTGGAGCCTGGTGATGATTAATGCTGTGGCAACAGATATGTTTACAGCATGACACATAGGTGTCACGATAGCGCTAAAATTTCAAAGCTCTCTAGGCCTAACCAAAATATTTTTATTTTTCCTTTATATAACTAGGCAAGTCAGTTAAGAACAAATTCTAATTTACAATGACAGCCTACACCGGCCAAACCCGGACGACGCTGGGCCAATTGTGCGCCGCCCTATGGGGACTCCCAATCACGGCCGGTTGTGATACAGCCTGGTATCGAACCAGGTGGTCTGTAGTGACGCCTCAAGCACTGAGATGCAGTGCCCTAGACCGCTGCGCCACTCGGGAGCCCCTGAGCTGGTCAAAACATCACACTTTTTGGTACTGACAGTGCAGAGCTCCATTTGGGATAAATGACTTGTGCAGCCTATTGAGGTTCAGAGACCTTATTCCCCATAATCACAGTGTGTGTGTGGGTGTATATGTGTGTGAGACTCACAGTCCACTGTCCGGCGCTGAGGTTCTGCAGGGCCCCTGCGGCAGCCTCCAGAGTGTTGTAGTTCTGGCTCTCAGTGAGCAGAGACAGGTACAGCCTCACCACTTCCGGCTGGTACAGCAGCTCAAAACCTACAAAGACACACAGAGAGAGAGACATGGAAGTTAGATATGGAGACAGAGAGAGATGTGGAAGTTAGATACGGAGACAGAGAGAGAGAGACAGAAGTTCGATACGGAGACAGAGAGACATGGAAGTTATATACGGAGACAGAGAGAGACAGATAGAGACATGGAAGTTATATACGGAGACAGAGAGAGAGAGAGATGGAAGTTAGATACGGAGACAGAGAGGTTAGATACGGAGACAGAGAGGGAGAGACAGAAGTTAGATACGGAGACAGAGAGACATGGAAGTTATATACGGAGACAGAGAGAGAGAGACATGGAAGTTATATACGGAGACAGAGAGAGAGAGAGACATGGAAGTTATATACGGAGACAGAGAGAGAGAGACATGGAAGTTATATACGGAGACAGAGAGAGAGAGACATGGAAGTTATATACGGAGTCAGAGAGAGAGAGACATGGAAGTTATATACGGAGACAGAGAGAGACAGAGAGACATGAAAGTTAGATACAGAGACACTTTTAGGATAGATACAGAGGGAGACAGAGAGCCAACAGAAAGACAGATTATTGAACACAATTAAAAGAAACAGAGACATGTAGCTCAGATACAGAGACAGGCAATCAGTCTGTGAAACTGCTCACATAATAATACTAATAGAAGTAGGCTATCTTCCCACATAATTATGGCAGGCAAGACTATTAGGTGTATGTCAATTATTATTCTCCCTTTAACACTCTGGTAAATCTCATTAACAGTACGTGATAAACATAACAAACAACTGTGCCTAGTCTACCCAAGTTATTGTTATCGCTGGGTAGAAAACTGTCATACATTTGACAACACTTTAAATGACCTAGTCATTATTCCATAACTACAACGGAATAACCAGTATTACTACTGCTGGTACAACACAGTATTTACTAATACCACTGATAGTTAGTATGGTATAAGTGTGGCCAGAAATTCTTAATAGCTCAGTTACAGATGAAGCAGCCATCAGCCACCCACAGAAGAAGTGGTCTTCTACAGTACCAGATGTAGCTTTTATCAAAGTCCAAATCTCTGCTAATGTGAG